AGTTAGCCGTGCCCTGGTTTAGATCAAACGTCGACTCTATATATTAAGCTATCGTTTAAACGGAAAAAAGAAAGAAAGAAAGAAAGAAAGAAAGAAAGAAAGAAAGAGTGAGTAGGTATAAGATTCAGGTCACCCATCCAGGTACTAACCTCCCTCAATCGGGCTTGACTCAGTGGTCTTGGGAAGCCAAAGTTTTTCCCACTGAGCCACGATTCAAAACAATTAGCATAACAATAGCCTTGAAAACAATGCGGCTGATAGACTAGACTTTTTAACATCAATTTTTCAACCGATTCCGTGCGTGGCAGAGATGCAAGGGATTAACCGATATGGTCTGGGGGCCGGCTGGTCTCTCCCCTGATGCTTCGGCTAGAACATTTTCTTGCGTAATTCGTACACCCAAGGGCAGAAGGATTTAATCGCCGTCAGGTCCGAAGTCCATACGACGCCTCAGCTATGCGGATGTCTCGGGGGTATGGCAAAGTGGAGTCGATTTTTCTTTCTTTTTTTTTTTTAATTTAAATTTTCTAATTTTTTAATTAATTATTGTCGGAATTTTAATCAAGATGTGGGATTGATTTTACCCAGATAATATTTTCTTTTCTTTTTTTTTTAAATTTTCTAATTTTTTAATTAATTATTGTCGGAATTTTAATCAAGATGTGGGATTGATTTTACCCAGATAATATTTTCTTTTCTTTTCTTTTTTTTATGATTTTCTCTTCATTGTCTTCAGAAGACAGACACCCTGACAGTACAGCACCTACCTGGTGATGGAGGCGTCGGCGTATGATTTGTGGCCGGAAACTTTCGGAATTCGGTTAAATGTAAAATAATTTGAAACTGAAGCTTTTGGTCAAAAGACTTCAGGATTAATATCAAGGGAGTAGCGACTTGTAACTCTTGATTTAAAAGAAGAGCCGTGGAATTTGACTTTGTGAATTACCGCACATCAGTTTTGTCGTGTTCAGAACATAGCAGGACCTCAATAATTAACGAACACTTAGAAAGCGGCAAACCTCTGACAACAGGGGCGAATCCAGGGGAGGGGTGCAGGGGGTGCGCACCTCTCCCTTGTTCGAATTTGTGTCCCTACTTCGAATATAACCAATACTGTTTTTTTCCTTTGATTCTAAGGGGTTCACCCCTCCCTGGGTTAACTTCGTGCGCAAGCAGCCCTCCCTGAACAAAATCCTGGATTCGCCCCTGTAACAAGCGATCAACCTCTTGTTAATAACCAGTTATCGAGGTTGGATTTTAAGAAATGGAATTTGAGCATTTTTTCGTATTTACATATTAGTCTCGCATTCAAGARAGCTTTATAAGTATTCCATGGGHAAAGAGGGTAAGATTTTATCGTGTGGATGGAGGCTAGGGACTAACAAGTCAAGGGTTTGTTATCAAACACACCGTCCCATACAAAACATCCTTATGAAATACTCTATTATATATTTAATGTATTTCTCCTATAGTCTACATTATCAGCTAAAACTTTCCATTCCTACTAATATTGAGGTGCTTTTTCCTYTTCTGATGCTCATTTTCAAATTGACGCAACTGCTTGTAGCCACGTGACATATCCATGCAAAAAACCTATTTTTAGCACTCTTAGTACTTTATTCAAACAAATACATGACAAATACATGTATTAATAATTCTTGAAAAGGTTGGCCTTGAGGCTAGCCCTATATATACAAACGTCGTATATATTCAAGAACGTTGTAGCTCTTCCCATCCCTCTGTGTGTTATTCTAGTTCGAAATTTTCTTCCATGCAGAAATGCTGCTAAAATGTTGAATAGAAAAGGGCTGTATATATTCAAGAACGTTGTAGCTCTTTCCCATCCCTCTGTGGTTATTTTGAAGTTCTCTTCCATACAGAAATGTTGCTAAAATGTTAAATAAAAAGGGTGAATGGAAAAGGAGTATGACCCTTGACAGGTTTGTGTCAGCCATCTTCAAATCCTGAAAAGCCTTCAAAATGTATATTCAGTCATTTCTGTCTTCTTTGATTCAACAAAAGGGCATTAATTTTGATATACATTTAACCATCAAGATTCCTAATGTCAGATGTTATGAATCAGGGTCCCTTGCCGAGATAAATCTTTTAGTGACGATTAATCAACTTGGGTGTTTTGTTCGCTCAAGACAATCAAAAACAAAAACAATCAAAACAAGCAAACAAGAAATATATTTTTAAAATCATTTTTAAAAATGATAAAATAGCCATATGCTGTCATAATCTTGCTCTAGTTATAAAGAACTGCTACAAAAAGAGTTTTTTTTTTTTTGTTTCTTGCCTGTTAAATCATTTCGAAGCAGACGACATTTTCCCAGACTAATTAATTTATTGGACGTTTCTGCCTTAATTTTTTATTTGATCTTTTTCTGAAAATTTATGAATGAGAAAACGAAACTGTTGAGTTCCCTGGACTGAGAAATTGTTCCCTTAGGGCAAAAGAGGGGAAAAAAAAAAAAAAAAAAGGATTCAATCAGCCTCGCGGATGCACAACGGGTATTTAGAGCTTTCGTGTACAAAATCTTGTTCTTTATTCTATCCCCCAAAGCATATTGCCCAAAAATCATGTTACTGCACATTCAAATGGTTTCTGCATTCGAATGGTTTCTGCATTTAAATGGTTTCCATATTCTTATACTATGATTGGATAATGCATGCATAGTTCTCGTGTTCGAGGATCAACCCAGATAGTAAGTCATTTGATTATGACTTCAAGGTACTGATATTGTTACGGACGAGAAAAATTGTTTTCCTTAGCTTCTGGTATAGCGTTAAGTTAATGTTTTGCTATTTATTCTTTTTTTTTTTCCCGAGAGGAAACCAATTGATAATCAGTACCTCTTCACGAGATTTTCTCCAAGCATTGATATTGTCGCCGATGAGTGCACGCAAAACTTTTATTACACATTTTATTGGATTGTGATTGGWYAATGTGTTGCTTTTGTGCTTTTCGATTGGTCAATAACAAAGCCATTTAACTGTTTCTTCAACATTTTCTCCAAGGGCCTGATATTGTCTAACAGGAAAAGAAATCGCACAAAAATGTTCATTTCTACACTATCTTCATTATAAATTGATGATGTACTGTCTCTCCGTGTCTCTTAATTGGTCTAAAGTCAGCAGAAGCCATTTGGAAGTCAACGCACTGCGCCTGTTTCCTCCAAGGCAATGATATTGGAGAAGATGATCAGAGARCACAGCACGCAAACTTTATTTTTTCCCCAACTACTGATCATGATATTTACCTATTCAGTAAATTAAACATTTTTTCATGAGTAGATTTTTCCCATCAATATTTTAAAAAGATCTACGGCTGATAAAACGTTTTTGTTTTCCTAACATGCCAAATTTTCTCTTGGCAAAAGAATTTTTATTTCCACAAAAAAATTCAAAAACGTTTTACTCACTATTGGCATTGTTACCTATAAATAAGATTTTTTAGTAAATTCAGTCGTCCTATCTATATTTCCTAAAGCTATATGTTTAAAAAAAAAAAAAACACTCTTTCCTTCCCCACGCAAAATTATTTTGTCAATTAACTGATTGTTTCCAAAAAAAATCCATTCCAACGAACTGACCAGAAAACGCTTATCCTTTATTTAGTGCTTATTTGTCTTGTATCCTTTTTCGAGTTTCCTCCAACCACTTTTCTACAGAGCTCCCACTCATCTGATTTAGTTAATGGGTTATTAATAAATAACGAATTTGAAAAATTGATTGAAGTAGTTTCTTGCAGAGAGTGTGCAGCTGCTTGGTTGTCGTTTGTCTACAACATTAATAAAATACCTTTTTGAAGTAAAATTTTTGATATTTTCAYGTGTTTTTGAAAATTAAAATGTTTTCGTTTTTAATGGCATATCGATTGTGCAGTGGCGTTTCTGTAGATTTAAAAAGCACAAGATAGTGCAGAGATGGTCTTAAATTGGTTTATGATGTCAAGATAACTTTGATGTTGAAATTTCCGGAAACATGTGCCTGATAACACGCGCAGTGAGATTGCGCCCAAAATGTGGCCATGCCAACTGCGCGCAAATCTCTATACAGCTATTTCAGAAATCGTTGTCACACCAAAAGCCTCAAGCAACAAGCCAAGACCGCAGAGAACGCCGGTACTTCTAGCTGTAACTAGTTTATTCATGGTGCATTTTCATTTATTGACTTCACAAATTGCTCCAAGCAAGGCTGCTTGAGATGAGAATTAGTGTAGAGCTATAGCCAATTGCATGAATCATGAATAAATCAATTATAATTAAAAGAACCGACGTTCTCTGGAGCCTTGGCTTGTTACTTGAGGCTCTTGGTGCGACAACGATCTTCGAGGTGTATATGACACGACACCAATCGCAAGTCAAGTAAACAATACGTATCAGTGACACATAATGTTATAAGATCATTGGTTATAGTATAGCATGATATAACAAATAGTATAGCATGGTGTAGCTTGATATAGCATGAGTAGCATGGTGTAGCTTGTTATAGCATGGTTAGCATGGTATAGCTTGTTATAGCATGGTTAGGATGGTGTAGCAAAGTATAGCATGGTGGTGTAGCTCGATATAACATGGGTAGCATGGTGTAGCTTGATATAGCATGGTTAGCATGGTGTAGCAAAGTATAGCATGGTGGTGTAGCTTGATATAACATTGGTAGCATGGTGTAGCTTGATATAGCATGGGTAGCATGGTATAGCTTGTTATAGCATGGTTAGGATGGTGTAGCAAAGTATAGCATGGTGGTGTAGCTTGATATAGCATGGGTAGCATAGTGTAGCTTGATATAGCATGGGTAGCAAGATGTAGCTTGATATAGCATGGTGTAGCATGGCTTATCAAAGTATTGCATGGTGTAGCTTGATATAGCGTGGGTAGCAAGGTGTAGCAAAGTATAGCACTGTGTAGCATTGTGTAGCATGGTGTATCAAGGTATATCATAGAACAGTAAGATAAACTTTGATGACCAACGTCACGTCTGAATAACTTGGATTATTATAATTTGGTTTTTAATTGCGTCTCAGACAGGAACTTATTAAACGTAGTCAAAGACACTCGCAGCTCTCTTAACATCATCTATTTATAAAGAAACTATTTTTTATTTACCAATTCACTTAGCTAACTATACTTCAACAATTAAGCTGTGGATAGCACATAACAACAATCTTTGATGCATGCTGAACATTTAAACTATTAAGAGCTATTAAGTCACAAATGACAAGAGAATTACTAACTCATGTGTTACGTCTTTTATATGCTGTTAGGGCATGAAGGCCAAGTATAGTAAATTTACCAGTTTGGATTATTTTTATATTATTCACATTTTCATTTGTTTCCCTAGAATGTTCTTGCTTTATTTGCTTGAACAGTGTTTTAAACGACATTTTTTTGGTTTTAGAAACGCGGATGTCTACTTGTCGGCTTTGAATAAACACGGCTGTTATCATGCTTCATCAGCTGTAAACCACTTCTTCAGGTTCAATGCACCTCTCACGCGTGTGCAGCAAACGTAAAACTAACCATGTCTTGAGCATCACGTACCGGGACGCGAAGACTAAACATTCCTCACCGAGTTGACTAAACAAACTCAGTTTTAAAAAGGCATTCCAGACCCTTTCAAGACGTATGTTGTGTCTACGTCTTCTCACCTTAAAAATACGTTCAAGGTCACCTAGTGAAAGTAAATATTGATGGTTGTTAATATGAAAAACAACGCAAAGCTGATTCAATAAGGAAGGAGTTTGTTTGATTAAGTAGCACGTAGTACAACGAGGACGCAAAACAATGGCGGGTTCTCACTCGAAAACTAGCAAGGATAGAATTAAAACTAAAAATGAGAAAATGGCAAACTCGATTCAAAATAATCCCAGATAAGGTTACATATAAAATATTGACTTTCCATATCTTTGAGACGAAAATAAGTTTCGTGTCTTGCAAAAACAGGTTTATTTTTTCTAATGTTTAGTATTCAAAGTTTTGTTCGATTACGAGCGTCCGTAGTTTTGTTTAGGAAATCGCACAATCTTCTTCACGAGTGATGTTTTGGAAGTTTTCAAAATTGTACGAGGTTTTTGGCGAATCCAATGTGAGAATTTTCAAAACATCACGAGTCACATCTATCAATTCCGAATTGTATCGTATTGTTTTTACTTCTTTGGCGCAAAAATAAGTTGCCTGTCTGGCAAAAACGCGTTCATTTTTTTAATCATTTTGGCTTACAAAGCTTTGAATTGCTCGATTACGAGTGTCCTGTTTGTTTCCGTAAAATGCTTAGTGACGTCGAAAGACCTTCATTCACCTGTGTGGTGACACGTGCATCATATCCTCTTTGTTACCAGTGAACTCAATTATGACTAACATACGTTATAGCAGCGTTATAGCTAGATAAACAATCATTCTTTCTTCATTCTAGTCATTTCACCGAGAGGAAAACAGTAACGCGAAACGTAGATACCCTTGATACTGCATGCAATCTGCGTCAATTGAAACTCAAACTTGCTAAGACACTCAATCAGAATTCCCTGCAAGGTGCGCAGTGGAAGACTAACCATGTTTGTATCATATCGTATCTTGTCATGTATGCTATAGTCGCGCCTAAATGAGAATATAGTCTCAACCAAGACAATCAAAATCAAACAAATACGAAAAATATTGTTGTCAAGTCAGGAAAAATAATAGTTTGTTCCAGCGTTTAATATTTTGCGAGCAGTGACGACTTAAATATGGGCAATTTTCAATTGATAATAAATTCAAGTTTAGTGATAACGGTGGTCCAGGATGTATGCGCTGTAAAAAAATCATTTTGATGAATTTCGAGAAAATAAAGTCATTTTCATTACTTACTAGTAATTACCTTTCTATGGTAAAAGTTTGAGGGAAAACTATTTTCTGACCCGAAATGCAGTGGCCCGCTTTTACAGAGACTGCCTCTTAAAAGTATCCATTTTTTCAAATAATAGATTTTAATGGCATCCTCTTTCTCAAATGTCCGCATTTAAGACTACTCTTTTTTTTCAAATGACCGTATTTAAGAGTATCCTTTTTTTTGAAATGACCGTATATAAGATATCCTCTTTACAAATGACCGTATTTAAGAGTATCCTTTTTACAAATGACCGTATTTAAGAGTATCCTTTTTTTAAATGACCGTATTTAAGAGTATCCTTTTTTTTTTAATGACCGTATTTAAGAGTATCCTCTTTACAAATGACCGTATTTAAGAGTATCCTTTTTACAAATGACCGTATTTAAGAGTATCCTTTTTTCAAATGACCGTATTTAAGAGTATCCTCTTTACAAATGACCCGTATTTAAGAGTATCCTTTTTTCAAATGACCGTATTTAAGAGTATCCTCTTTACAAATGACCGTATTTAAGAGTATCCTTTTTTTAAATGACCGTATTTAAGAGTATCCTTTTTTTAAATGACCGTATTTAAGAGTATCCTTTTTACAAATGACCGTATTTAAGAGTATCCTTTTTACAAATGACCGTATTTAAGAGTATCCTCTTTACAAATGACCGTATTTAAGAGTATCCTTTTTTCATATGACCGTATTTAAGAGTATCCTTTTTACAAAATGACCGTATTTAAGAGTATAGTATTCTCGGCTTTGAATTTGTGACAGAACGCCTACCAGACAGACAGTGAGTGCGTGTCTTTCCTTTAAACGGTTTTCGATTAGAAATCCATCTCCATCAGCCTCAGTTTCWTGTACGATTGCTTCATGACACAACAAAATGGAAGGATAAAGAATAACAGGCTTGGTTTGTTGTGAAATGGTGTGTTTTTGAGAAAAAGACTACATCGCGGGCGTAGAGTGTATCTCACGGCCCCCTCACAGACCAAATTACATACATTTACTGTATTTTATGAGGTCCATCTCCGCCCGGGATATAGTCTTCCCCATTTGTATCTTGCCTTTACGTTGAAATTGTTTTGGAAGCCAATTTTTTTGAATTTCTGCCCYAGCATGAAGAAGTTATAGAAAGTAGATCCTGTCTAACCGTGAAAATATCAATGTACAGATTAATTTAGTCCTGGCCTCGCTTTTTCTTCCCCTCGCAATTAAACGAACTGAAAATTTGTTTTCCCAGCGCCCAACTTTCCAGTTAGAATTAATTAAACTGAGTTCGGGCACATACTTGTTGACATGCCGTGATCTTAAAAGTGATCTTAACGAAAATAACCTGGCTTTACGGGGACTTTGAGATTCGACAAGAGCGCCGTAAAGAAAGGGCATAACAAAATATTCGGATTTTCCATACTAGTTATAGAAATCGTGCTTGTATAGTCCTTAGAATAGATCAATGTCACAGCGCAGTTGAAAAGAGAGATCGCGTTGGGTTTTAAAAATGCTAGGTGTGATTTTGTGGAGGGAGGACAATCTTATATTCYGCTATAATTAACGTACTTCGTTTGGGGGAGGGGAAGGTGTGTTGTAAAGGCGTACACTAGGCTCGGGGGTTCATACATTTGATGCTCATAAAAAAAATAATTTTTTACGACAAAAGCAAAACAAATTACACCATTGATACCGATTTTACTTGCTCTCTCAGACTATGGTAGGTTTTACCTAAAAATCCAAAATTGTGGAATATCCAAACCTGGATTAACCCCCTTGGATTGGACTTTCCTTAGGTGGAGTGTGAGAATCGAGATTTTTTTTTTTAGTATTTTAAGTTAAAATCGATGTTAAATGTCTAACGTACCTCGAAACAATTGCTTCGGCGCAGTAGTTATTAGAAATTAAGAATAAAATATGGCTTTTATATGAAGGAAAAGGTTAAGGCTATTCTGTGACAATCTGTGTTTTTGTTACACTTATTTAATCATCTCGTTTCATTTTTATCCAACAGAGAATGAATAAAGACGTTCGAAGATACCTTACTTGTGTTTATGGCAGATAACAAGTTAAGAACAGAAAATAGAGCGGAATACAGTTACCATCATGCCGCAAAGTTGTTATCCAAAGGGATGGATATTCTGTACAGTATCCCTGTATCAATACTATTCAAGTGAAAACAGAAAAGGTGAGTTGTGATATTTATTTGTTTTCAAAAATATATGAGTATGTATGTGTTTATTAGTTGACTATTCAAAAGTTTGGACTGCCTGTGGTGTGATAACTGCTAAAGATACAACAGGGAGCCCAACCCCTTTTCTACACTTGTTCCTAGTCAACTAAGGCCTAGGGCAAACGTCGAACTTTCCATGCACCGAACTTAATTACATCAAAGAATGCCGCCTCATTATCACCTGATATCCATTGTTTTTAATGAGTTCGGTGGATAGAAAGTTCGACGTTTGCCATAGGCCTAAGAAACCCTACTGTAACTTAACGCCTATTTTCTTTGCAATAAACTCTTTACATTTTCTTAATAAATAACGAATTCCTTTATTTGAGAGATCGATTCACCAAAAAATTGTTGGTTACTTTGTTCTTCAAAGCGGGACAATCTGTGAGTACCGTCCAGAGGGACAGACGGTGATACATTTTAATTTTCAGACTATCGAGACATAATCTAATGYTTATTAAATAAATAAAGTGTAATTTCCTTTATTTCGAAACGATTTACAACAAATTTGTTG